CACACAGACACACACAGCACCCCTAAACACATTTCATTCCAGACACACACTAGATCATCTACCCAACTCTGGATCATCTACACACATACACACACTAGATCCCTATATACACTCTGAATCCATTGTATACGCACACTCACTAGATCTCCTATACATATTCTGGGTCCTTCAAACACACACACACTCTGGATCCCCTATACGCACACTAGATTCCTTGTAAGCAAACATATACTACATTCCCTGAACACGCACTCTCTACAAACACTACATCACCTACACACACACACACACACACACACTATAGCCTGTATACACACACTTGCTACATCCCCTAAACACACATTCTCTAAAGCCCCTAGCCACATATGCATTACATTACACCACAAACACAACACGACTAAAACCGACCTTATTACACAATACCACACCACGACCAGCTCACTCTGCACACACGCAACACCCCAAGCAGGCTCCAAACACATGCACAATACTCTTTCCTGGCCCTTTTGTCTCCTGGTATCCATTTATAGAGACACCAGAGACAAGTTGCAAGGAAACACAGTGCAAGCATGTTATTAAATTTGATTGCACTGTGCAGAACAAATACAGGGCTTTTTTCTCATGCTAGAGCTCTTCAGCAGAGCTCTGCGCATGGTCTGCCCTGGAAGAGCATTGAACCAACATGATCACTTTGAGAGGGGGCGTGTTTGTCATGAGTGATGACAAAACACACCCTCTCTGCCCCGCCCCCTTCTTAGTGGGCCGCTGTGATAAAAAAATGCCCGGGCCGAATTTTTTTCCCAGCCCGGCCCTGCCCACAGTTATCCAAGTAACAGATGGAGCGATAAAAAGAACCATAACATATGTAATGAGCCATTCACAGTTTTACAGTTGGGAGGGCAGTCCGGTGACCAGGACCCAGACACTGTCTGGGTGGCGGTCGGACGACCAGTACCCAGTATGCCTGATGTTGAAGCCAGGAAGCCATCACCAGACTGATCCGCAACTTGGAACAGGATGTGACATTCACTGTAGTGGCTGTGCGTGCTTTCGGCGTTCTCACCCTGCTGCTGCTCGCCTGTCTGCATTGCAGCGTAACTTTGGCCTTCCCGCTCACCGCCTCATATGTGACGTGCCCACAAGGTGGAACTCCACCTTGCACATGCTGGAGAGACTGTGCGAGCAGCAACAGGCGATAGTGGAGTTTTAGCTGCAGCACGCACGGGTCAGTCGTTTTGCACCAGACTTGCCCTCCAATTGATCAGAGTTAAAGGATTTCAAGTGGACTCATTACAATTACAGGGCCTCTAATGAGTCCTGTATTGTTATTTGACGTCGCTACCTTCCCGCATCGGGAGTGGGTCATTTGCGTGCCTGCTGCCTTCCTTGCATGTGGTAGCCATTTCTCAGATTCCCTCTCTGTAATCCAACCCTGATTCCCCGTTACCTGTGGTCACCACGGTAGGAGCAGAAACTGGCTTTGTTCCTGTTACAGATTTGATTTAAGTGAAGCTTCTTCTTTGAAGAGTCTTGTAAGGAAACCAAGTATATTTAACCTCATTCGGTAGTTTCCTCCCGAACCGCCAGAGCCTTAGTGATTATAGCCCTCCGTTCGGTAGTTAGGGTAGACGAATCCTATAGAAATTCCAATAGTCTCACCAGATAATTCCCTCAGTGAAACACACGAATCCCCAAACATCAGCCGAAGTCAAGAAGAAGGGTACAAAATGAACTGTCCTTTAATGGGTGCACACAGCTTTTATGCAAGTCCCCATGCAAGGGGACAGCCCTCAGGGAGGGACAAACAATAACCAATCACAAACAGTAAAATGTTAACACACACCTACAATTCCCTCCCCTAGCCCAGGAGATAATTTAGTCTGATAAAATAGTAACTTAATTATCTCCGGGCTGAAAAATCACTTTTTCCCCAACTTTCAGAACACCCCTTTATACTGGGGGTATCCCCATAAATTATGTGTCCCCTGATAGCCCTGATCTGGGTGACCAACATATTCGAATTTCACCCAGATCGGTTCAGGGGTTCGCAAATTTTATGGAAGTCTTGTGTGTCCGGCTCACCCTGGGCTGCATGCCCAAAACATCCCCGTTACCTGTGGTCACCACGGTAGGAGCAGAAACTGGCTTTGTTCCTGTTACAGATTTGATTTAAGTGAAGCTTCTTCTTTGAAGAGTCTTGTAAGGAAACCAAGTATATTTAACCTCATTTTTTTTTTTTTTAATTCTTTATTTTTAGTGTGCATAAGTTTGACAGACATGCATATTTGGCCACGATAACAAGTAAAGGCATTTCACATTGCATTATTCTGTGGCATATAAGAGAATTGCACATTTTTATGTAACTAACAGGTTAATACAGGTTATGTCAGAGAATGGTCAGACAATAAGCGTGATCGAAAGTAGTGTAGGCTGACATTAACTTTGTCAATGAGGAGATAGTTATGAGACATGCTGAACTATGAGTAACTCAAAAGTTTGGGGGCCACTGGGTACTCAAGGGCGTAGTATTGGGATATAGCATATTTACACCCTAACGTAGTTGCTAGGCATGGCAATAGCTGGATATGAGCACTAGGTGATGCTAGATTAGCTTGACCGGCATATGTACATAGTGGAATTTAAAATAACAAGGCAATAAAGATTTAAAGCACAATTCCACGAAAGAAGGAGAAACCCCCCCCAAAAAAAAAAAAAAACATACAGATGTAATTGCTAGACATGGTAGTAGCTAGTTCTGAGCAGTGTGTGACTTGCTAAATTAGCTAGACTGGCATTTGTACTTATCAGAGTTAAAATGAGAAGGGGAAATAAAGATTAAAGCACAATTTCCACTGCAACTGGGTGTTTTCCTGAGCTGGTTGTATTACTGATGTGACTGCTAGGGGGGGAAAGTGTAAAAAAACAGTAGAACCCTAGGGTAAGATCTCCCCCGGAGAGCACGCAGTGGAAAGGTGAGCCAGTGGTGGTTATTGCTCATCTCCATGCGGCAAGTGGGTATTAAGTGCCTCTACTTGCTTAACCTATGCCTATTGATGGCGGACTGACACCCCTGGGGATCATAAGACCACCTCTCTGCAGGTGAGCGCCGTACCAGTCCCAAGCGCTTGTGTGCTCTTGTTCAGCGCTGGCTGAAAGGCCATCTAGTCCAGTTGCTGGGACTTTGTCTCTGGGCCTTCTCTGTGCTCCGAATCTGTGTTGCCATGTGTGTGCTCTCCGGCGGAGGGGTCCGCGAGTATGTAGTCGGCTCCCATCTGAGCGTCGTGCATAGAAGCTGCGGCAAGGTGGTAAGGAGAGTGGTCGGTGTTGGCATGCTGCTTTTCGGTTCGGTGTCGGGAGAGTCTGCCGGCGGGCCCGTCGGCAAGATGGGTGCAACTCCGCGTGGGCACTGGATCGGTGAATTGCCGCTTCAGCCTCCTTCACCTTCATAGCAGGTAGGTCAGAATGGGTGGCTTTATGCTCCATGCGCTTCCAGAATTCCTGGCAGATTCGATCAAAGCGGGCTTCAAAGTGCTCTCTCCAGGTCTGGATCTCAGGTCTTGCTTGAGACTGCAGAGATTGCTGCTTGGCGGCCATTTTGGGCCCGAGCCGCGGTCTCCCCTCCAGCAGATCAGTCCCTTGTGGTGAGTTTGTGGGATTCCCCAGTGGGGACCGGGATGACCCCCACCGGTCCAGAGGGGGGGGATGCGGGATGCCAGGTGAGCTGCTGCTTGTAGCGGTCCCCAGGGCGGGGGATCGGCCGCCTCTCCCAACCATGAGGCTGCTGTCCGTGCTAGGCCGCATTTGTGGAGTGTGGTATTTCTCGAAAAAAGTTCACAAAACAGATGTCCACGAGCCTCCACGCAGTCTAGTGATGATTTTTTGTTGAGCAGGACTGCTAAGTTCAAGGTTTTGGCCAGTAATAGCCAATTTAAATCTCGTTTGTGTCAGAGCTCTCTGCATGCACGTCCAGCTAGCTCTGCTGTCAGGCCCCGCCCCCCCCAACATATTTACTTTAACATTAAACTTGTAAATATTTTAGAATTAAAATCTGTTCTTTTTTTATTCCTTACATTTCTACCCTAGTTCCTTTCAAGTATATATATATATATACACTAGACAGTAGCCGTCACTAGCGTTGCTGGTACTGTCAGATTGGCTGTCTAGCTGTCTAGAGAAATAGAAGTCTAGCAGTGGCATTATTGGTGCAGCATGGCTTAGTACTCTATGCTAGAGGTGTACTTGGTTACTTGGAAAAACTGTTGAGAGCACCACACCCTCCAGAATTGTAATTCTTTGGTGTGTGTTTCAGAAGCTCTCTTCACTTGTGTGTCTTCTGAACCTATTTGTGAGTCTCTCCTAATTTCCTCTTCTCTTTTTTTTTAATTTTTTTATTTATATTTTTATTTTTCAATATACATAATTGAGTAACAAACATTTCTCTTATTTTGGTATGCAAAGATGGATAACAATCATTTCTCATACTTCAGTTTGTGTAGATGAACGACAATCCTTTCTCGGATTGCTAAACCCGTCAGGGTGATTATATAACAATTCGTCATTTTGAGAACGGATTAACAGTAACATTGGTTTCGTAAAACATAACAATGCGTAAATAATATACCAGCTGTGTAGATGATGTGGCTTCATGTCAGTTTACAATGGCACAATCAAATAACTATATGTGTCGGAGATATTACGAATATGTAGTCTATGTTGTCTGCGTCAGTCCTCGTGTGTGGTAGCCGTGACTGGAGAGATCGTTAGGTTCGTCCTTGTGGTAAGGTTTTGGTTATAGTCTACAGCTAGTGTGTATAGTGTCAATTTTCGGTCTTACCGTGTGGTGCTATCGATTGTGTCCCTTTCCCTACTCCTGATTGCCTCTGTCTAGAAATTGGGTCCAAGGTTCCCAGGTTTGTTTGTAGTGTGCGTATCTATGGGTGAGTGAGAAGGTAAGTTCTTCCATGACCCTAGTGTCCTCCACTTTTTGTATCCATTCCCTAACTGAGGGTGCTAGGGTCTGTTTCCATTTTATAGGTATTAGTAGGTTTGCTGCCGTCAGTAGATGGTTGATGAGGTGGAGTCGTGTCTTAGGGATGTCGGTTGGGGGTAGCAAGAATAGGTAAGATTCTGGGAGGAAGGGTAGAGAGATGTCTGTGATGTGTTTAATCAGGTCTGAGATTTTTTTCCAGAAAACATTTATTATAGGGCAAGACCACCATATGTGTGCGGATGTAGCTGGGGTTTGGTTACATCTCCAGCAAAGGTTCCGGGTGTTTGAGTATATTCTACTCAATTTGTCTGGTGTATAATGCCATCTGGTAATTTTTTTGTAGTTACTTTCTTGTATGGTGCTATTCGTTGTAGTATAGTGAGCCTTGGTTAGAATTTTCGTCCAGTCGGTGTCGGGGATTGATGTGTTCAGATCGGACACCCATGTTTGTGTAAATGGTGGGAAACTAGTATTGTTGTCTTTTTGGAGGAGTTTGTACATAGTTGAGAGGTGTTTGCTTTTGATCCCCTGCGTTTGGCATAGATTTTCGAATTCTGTCTGTGGCCGGAGTTTCGTTAGAAGGGTATTGTCGGCCTTAAGAAAGTGTGTCAATTGTGCGTGTTGGAAAGTGTGCATCGTTGTTATCCGGGAGTCAACTATGAGATCTGTCAGTGGTTTAATGTTTCCCTCTTGTATCACATCTTGTAGTGTGAGTTGTTGTGATTGTGTGTTGTGTTGTAGGAATTGGGTTTGGCAGCCCGGTGGAAAAAGAGGGTTGTTTGTTATCGGGTAGCGCGGAGATGGGTGTGGGGATAGTACTTGGGAATCCCTGATTTGGTTCCAAACCTTCAGTGCGGGGGTGATGGTCGGGTGTTGGGAGAAGGGTGGCTTTTGTAGCATTCGCCCTTTGGGGTGCCAGACTACATTGTGTGCGTGTGTGGAGAGGAATGTCTCTTCTATAGTTCTCCATTGTCTGTGCGGGTGCGGTGCTGTCCATTCGTATATGCGATGTAGTATGACTGCCTTATAGTAGGTTTCAATATCAGGTAAACCCAAGCCCCCTCTATTTTTCCTTTTAGTCAGAGTTGTGTAGCTGAGTCGAGGGTGTTTGTGCGCCCAAATGAATTCCGAGAAGAGCCGTCTCATCGTAGAGAAGAAGGCTTTTGGGAGTGTGATTGGTAAAACTTGTAAGAGGTAAAGTATTTTGGGTAGAGTGGTCATCTTTATGATGTTCACCCTACAGAGCCATCCAAAGTGGGGTTTCGACCATTGTGCTAGATCTTGGGAGATTGTTTCTAAGAGGGGTTTATAGTTAAGAGAGTATAGTGAGGAGAGGTTTTTCGGGAGTTGTACTCCTAAGTATTTTATCGCTTTGTTTGTCCACTTGAAAGGGAATCGAGTTTTAAGAGAGTTTGCGTTGTGGGGGTCTATTCGTAAAGGGAGGATTTCACTTTTGGTGAAGTTCACTTTAAAGTTGGACACTACTTGGTATTGCTCTAACTCTTCCACTAAGGGGCCCATGGATGTGGTTGGGTCCATTATCGTGAATAACAGGTCATCTGCAAAAGCAGAAGCCTTATATTCTT